AACTCTAAATACCTTGGATAAATCTAACCTTTATCCAACCTTTTTTGTTATACTCGTACCAGATTTATTATAAAAACTCTTCAGGTCATATTTGTATATCAGCAAAATTTAGAAAATAACAGAGGCCATTTCATTCTTCTTGGTAAAAGTAAGAGGATTTGGGCAGAAATGTTTCAGTAATGGAATATAATACTTTATATTCAGTAATGGAATATAATACTTTATTAACTGCAATGTTGTGGGGACATGCTAAGATAATATATATATATATATATTCTTCTTATAAACATATTATCTAGGCTTCCTTGGAAAAGATCAAATGAAAAACATAAAATAACTCAGGCAATCAAGCCCTCAAGCTCTCAGCAGTGAACATGTGCCAGAGAGCCAATGGATAAGAAAATTTCAGCTAATTGTTTCAAAATCCTCTTGCTCTTTTCAGAAAGAAAAGCTTGGTCTAAGTGCTGACAAACAGTATATGTTAAAAACATTGCTATTAATTATATAGATTTATCTTTATGATGTGCTTAGTAATTCTTTGGCTATGTAAGTAATCTTTAACAAAGACAAGAGTCAAGAATAACGTTCCAAATAATATTCTGTTGAGTAAATTGTCAAGACACATCCTGATATAAATCAAACCTAACTTTATATCACATATATTCAGATCATCAGATTGTTAATAGATCAAATCCACATTTATATTACATTTATATACATTATGCTATTATTGGTGGTGCAGTGGTCAGAATGCAGTACTGCAGGCTAACTCACTGCCCACTGCCAGGAGTTCAATCCTGACCAGGTCAAGGTTGACTCAGCCTTCCATCCTTCCGAGGTCAGTAAAAGGAGGATCCAGATTGTTGGGGGGAATAGGCTGACTCTGTAAACCGTTTAGAGAGGGCTGTAAAACATTGTGAAGCGGTATATAAGTCTAAGTGCTATTGCTATTAATTTTCATCTGCCTGAAAAAGCAAAAATGTAGCCAAAAACAATACATCTGGGTTTTCTTGTCCTTGTCACCTATATTTCCACTCTACCCATAAAAGCATCTAGACTGGAAATAATGCAATGTGGTGAAATAAACTGAACATTATACACACTTAATTCACACAGACATTATTGTCCCAACCTATATATACTATAACAGTGGTGGCGAACCTATGGCATGGGTGCCAGAGGCGGCACGCAGAGCCCTCTCTGTTGGCATGCGCACCGTCATCCCAGTCCTAGGCCTTCAGCTGGGTTTTATAAAACCTTTTCGCTTTAGGCCTCTGCCGCCGTATGCAAAAAAAAAAAAGGTTCAATCAATCAATCAATTTCAACTTCTCATGGAAAAAAAAAAGATCTCGCAGAGTTGGAATTGACCGATTGAACTTTTTAGTCCCACCGTCTGCTGTTACCACTGCAGCCACGCCCACCCAATGGGCCACACCCATCCGGCACCCGGCAAGGCATAAGCGGGTTTTGGGTTGCAGTTTGGGCACTCAGTCTCTAAAAAGTTCACCATCACTGTACTATAAAGTAAATGAGGAAAAGAGAACAGGCAATTCTAGGTGCTTGTTTGGGGGGAAAAAAATACCACCTGAAGAGAAAAAAAAACCCCTTATTGTTAGCACTATCTTGAAAAACAAAATAGGTTTGATATAAAGAGATCAGGTTTATAAAGTGATAAATACACCTTAAATATTAATTTTCAGAATTCTAGCATGAAGCAAATTGTTCCCATATTTATGCATCGGACAATGAATTTGCAGATAGCTTTGGGGCAAATATTGTGAACCACATTGGCATAGTGTTTAAACTACAAAACGGGAGAGTATAAGTTCTAGTCCAGCTTTAGGCACAAAGCCAGTGGGGGTGACTATGGGCCAGTCATTCTCAACCTTAGGAAGCAGGCAAGGGCAAACCACTTTTGAAATTTTGCCAAGAATATTGCAACAATTTCTCCAGGCAATCACCAAAGGTTAAGACTGAGTAACAGGCTCAAAGGCACATAAAGTATTTCAAATCAACACTGATTTGAAGGCACATACAAGCATTGGAGCATATATGCCTGAGTTCTGGGAAAGCTCAAAGTTTCAACTGTGCTGATCTGTTTCACGTGCTAACAATTGGGTGTTGGTCACAGTGTGGGCAACCTTGCAACAAGACTTCTGTTTAAGATAAAGGATCAGTCACATTCAGGGAATTGCATAATACAATTTAAATGAATCTAAACCTTTTAGAATTACTACATGGTGCTATTCCTAAAAGGTTTAGGTTCATATAGAGCTAGTTTAAGGCACTGAAGCACAAAGACAGCTGGGTGACCCAACTTGGGCTAGTCATTTTCTCTTCAGTTCCAGGAAGGAGGAAGTGGCAAACCACTTGCTAAGAAAACTGCAGGGACTTATCCAGGCAGCCTCCAAGAACTCGATTATCATTGAATGGAAGGAAAAAAAGACCCATAGTATTTACACAGTACTTTTTTTTTTTGCTGGATTTCTAGCATAAATTATTGATTGGTGCAGTCAAGTTATAGTATACTTTAGAATACTGCTACAGAAATATCTACAGTATACTGGCTAGCAACCAATTTCTATTGCAGTTATATTTGTTTTATAATTATATGTACATTTAAAAAAACCATGTGCATTCTATGCACCCAGTTGGGAAGAGGGATTAAAATCCGTAAGTAAATGTTTTTAATTATCATGTTCAATTTGTCATCCTTCCTCTGGGGAATCACATCTAAATCAGAACTTTTGCTACATTCCTTATGAACTGAGAATGCACCCTAAAACATAAAGAACTTCCTAGATAATATGCAGATACAGGTAAAAATTACTGGAACTCAAAAAGCCATTTTTTAAAGAAACTTTCTGCCAGTACTAATCTTCTGAGAAATAATGTGATAAAATTCTTGACATCTAAATATTCTTCTAATATGTTTCGTCAATCAAGGTAGGAACAATCCTGCTATCTGGTAATCCTATTAAATCTATCCCAGATCTATCATTCTTCTTCTGAAAGTACCTTTTGGGCAAATAGTGTATTTGAGACAGTAATGGCAGATAAGGGGAAACAACTAGAGCTAGAAGTATATATCCAATTAGAAATTAACTAAGGCTTTACCATTAAAAAGTGGTCACACTATGATCTATAGCAGTTTATGTGCAGATGGTAATGCTCTAATGTTATGAGGAAACCCTGCACATATTAAAAGCTTCAAAATTAAATCACAAAATTCTATTCAAGGATCTTGATAAGTAGTACATTTCAAGCCCAGGTATTCCTTCCAAGAACAAAGCTACATAAGCAGCATTATCTGGAGTACGCATGTAACAGCACAGCCAAAACCACTGAAAAAAGGATTGCAGGGTAGGCTTTATCTATTCATATAAGATAACAAAATGCTAAAAGTCATACAAATAATTTTGATAATTTTCACGAGGGACCGTCATTCATGAATGTTTCCCAATAGTAAACACACATTCACAAACACAGATGAAAGCAGAAGAACATAAATGCATACTCTCCCTAACCAATCTGCTTCATGATTTACTGGCTTTCTACTTATAAAAAGGAGAACTACTGTTTTAAATTTGGACAGACTCAGGGAGATAATGGAGGGCAGGGGGAGCCTGGCATGCTCCGGGTCCATGGGATCAAGAAAAGAATCAGACTTGAGTCAGCCTTAGCAACTGAACAATAAAAACTGTTTTAAAATCCTATTCTATAGGTCGGACTGAGAAAGAGTTCATTCTACCACATATATCACTATGCCACATTCCCTCCCCCCCCCCAACTGTGGCAGTGGTGTTATAAGGCTCTCTATAATGGACACACACGCATTATGGCAAATGTCAGAAAGGCAATCAGCCAGGATATAGAGCTATTCTAGGAAGAGCATGAACATAAACACCATTTTTAGAAATATACAGGTTTAATTGACAAGAGTATGCAAGGGCAGGTGAGAGAAAAGGAACCTTGTGCAGACTTTACTGCATGCATGAACTAGGCAGTGCCCCCCCCCACTTCCATTTTGAGAAAGGGAAGGTCGCCTCCTCCCATTTCTAGAGAGGACGACACGACACAACATCTGCCTAACACTCTCGGGACATTTTTTTTTTTTTTACAGCGTTTCCCCTTCATTCAGAAACCCCTCAGAGCAGCCTCCAAGGTAGGCCAATCTTCTTACGTCATCGCGAGATATTCACTAGATGGGCAAATGGCTGAGGGCCCAATGCCATCTCATGCGCTCGTGACCCCTAGACTCCTCCCGACGGGAGGATTTCCTGACTGGCACCTTTGAGCTCTAAGTATTATTAATTCCTTCTCCAGATGCGGGAGAGAAAAGGTGTGTGTGTGTGTGTGTGTGTGTGTGTGTGGGGAGAGCGCTGGCAGAAAGAAAGCGGGGTTGAAAAAGTGAAATTACGGGCGGCTCGCCTCTGCAGGGGGAGGGAGGGCGGGCGAGAAAGGAGACCCAAATCCCACTCTCGTCGTGTTCCGCCCAGCCCCGGCTACACCGCACATCTCGCCCCTCAGTCCAGACTGAGGGGAGCCATCAGGAGCTACACCCACGTGGGTGCCGCCCAGGTTCTTCTCCCCCCCCCTCCCCCGACTTCACCCGTGCCCGCCGCGACTGCGCATTGGAATGCGGCCGAAGGTTCCATCTGCTCTCCTCCTCCCCCCTCCCCCTCCCCCCCCCAGCCCGCACGTGTAGATTGCTGGTCACTTATTCGGGCACGCGGCGCTGCTTCCGCCGCCCGCCTTCCAGAGAGCCGCGTGCCCGAAGCCAGAACTACCAAGGCCGCTGGTCGCGTTCGAAACCACGGCGCGCGCCGATTCGGCTTTAGCCTCCGTCGGCGCCCAGCAGGCCCAAAAGAGACGCTGAGGGCCCCACGGACCCTTCGCTGCAGGCCTCTCCCCTGCAACCCGGCCTTGGAATAAGATCGACCCGGACGCTGCCGGCCTGTCTTAAAGCGAAGGCCCGTGTCCCGCGGAGCACCACTCACCTGAGGCCGCCATGTTGGGATGAGCGAGAGAAGGCAAAAGGCCCGGATGCGCCCGTCACGTGATTATAGCGAAGGCGGCACCACCTCAGAAGGGCGGAGACAAAAAAAAAAAAATATTGGGGAGGGAATAGGCGAGAAACCAAAGGGGCGAATTGGCTTTGCGGTTCACCACCCCAAAGGGGTGATGGAGACTAAGCGCGAGGGAACAAACGTCGGTAGGCCTGGATAGGAAAATTTCCTTTAAAAAAAAATCTTTGCTCTCTGGCCGTGACGTTGTTACTGAATTTACTGCAGCCTGGTGCTTCAGATAAATTAATATTGCAGCTTCCATATCTGAAAATCAGAGACTTTGGAAACTTTAGAATTAGGAAATGAAAATGTGGATAGGCATCGGAGATTTTGAACTTACGTTACACGCACCTGCAATTAAAATAAATTGTTTTTCGGTTTCCATTCCAGGTATTTTGCTCCTAAACCCATACCTTCCTCCCAGCAATATTGGACTGGACAGAGTTTTTACCCATGAGGAATATTTATTTGCATTCCTTTCTCGTTTTTGTCCAGCATGCTGACTACCAGGGGACAACATCCAAGATAGCGAAGGGATTTTATTTGTGCTTATGATTTTAGTATGTTTAAGTTTGACATTAGCATTTATTTTATATACAGTAACCATTTTATATTGATACTTATAGTGTTATCGTGTAATCATTGTTTTGTTATTTTGTAATCATTATTTTGTAGTTGGTTGCTTGATCAGATGCTTTATATATATATTGGAAAAGTAAGGGCTTCATGCTTTAGGTATAGGTGATTGCTTATATGAAAAGAGCACAGTAAGGGGAGGGGGAAAAGGAGTTATGGATGGAGCCTGGGTTGCTGTGTATGAGTCATCATCTAGGAATTATTTTTTTGTGCCATCTTATGCCTGGTACCAAGACCTGATCTTTTTTCTCTGGAAAGGTATAAAAGGTGGAAGACATCTTTTCTGGTTGTTGCCTTCATTCCTCTACCAGCCACGAAGAGGAATCAGGCAGCCCCTCTCTGTTTTGATCAAAATAAAGTTGTAATCTTTGTTGAAACCTCGGCTCAGGACTTTCTTTGGCTCTTTTAAATTCCTGAGTAACGCTGGGGCAATTGTGAGGCTAAGTGGAAAACCTTACAATAGAATGCATCAGAATACAATGTTTTATTTTACAAGTAGGCCTTGATTTACAGTTACAATGGCACCAAAAAAAGGGACTTATGATTATTTTTCACACAACCGTTGCAGCGTCCCCATGATCGTGTGTTCAAAATTCAGGTGCTTGGCAAATGGCATATATATTTGTGACAGTTGCACTGTCCCTCAGTCATGTGATGATCACCATTTGTAACCTTCCCAGATAGCTTCAAACAAGGGAGGGGGAGCTGGATTCGCTTAACATCCACAACTGATATGTCTCCATATAAATTAGTTTTCATTATTTAATATTTTTACATACTAGTTTTCATTATTTAATAATATTTTACAATGCCCTAGCCTTAAGTTGCTTCAGAGAGCTTTTGCTGTAGTATGTGGATATTGTAAGAGTCACTGTTACAAGATGGGCCATATCAACTGACTAAAATAAGTAAACAGACAAATATATCTTGATTAAAAAGCTAGACTCCAATCATCTGCTTGAAAGATAAAAAGATATACCTAGTGACTGAGTTATGATGAGCTAAACTGGCTTGTATTTCCATTTCAAATTTTTATTTGTAAACAAAATTTCATTCATCTTCAGCTTGGGAAAACAATTATTTAAAACTGGAAGAAATTTGTTTTTTGAAAGAATGATCCTGCATATAAAATACAGCATTTGTCATTCAGAGTCTGTCTGATTGGAACAGCAGATAACCCCTGAAAAAAAAGTTCTGTATCTTAACAAATACTAGAAATGTACGATTATTTAAAACAGTGTTTCTTAAAGTGTGGTCATAGGATCTCTGGGGGTCCCCCCCCCAAAAAAATAATCAGAGGTCTGCAAAATCAAAATTAGTTATCAGCCTATGTTGAAAAATAGTATTAAAATCCCATCAAACAATTGTGAGAAGTGGTAACAGCACAATGCCAATTTTATCAATTATTTCAAGTGCCAGCCGTTATATATTTTGAACAGCATCCTCCCACTTCTCATATTTTACTTTTGAGCAATATATTTATTGCCTGGACTGATTATCCTATAGACTCCTCCCTATCCCAATTATTACTGTGAAATTAGAAAGAATCTTGTGGAACTTAATATATACATTATGGCATGAGCTTTTGTCACTTTATAACCAGATATATGGAGTTCATCCCAATCATGTAATGTTGTTCCTATGCGGTGGATACACTTTCATGTATTTAAGAAGTAGGATTAAAAAAAAGGTGAGTGAACTACAAGCATTAATAGTTGCATTATACTTTTCATTGCGTATATATTTTTTCATTTCATCCCTGACTGTCTCAGTGCTATTGTTTTTTCCCCCCCTCTTATTATTCTCGTACTAGCTGATAAGGCATTTTTGTGGCTCTGATGAAGTGGGCTCTTATCCAGAAAAGTTGTTTTTTTAAAATGGCAGCAAGCTCTCTCTGTATACGCCTGTTTGCCTTCAAATGGACTATAAATGAAAGTCAGTATGTATTAGGATCAAATAATTCCTAATGTTACATACTGTACAGTATGTGCCTATGGAGATTTGAATGTTCATTGACTAACCGGGAAAGAAATCTTAGAACATATTGTATCCATCAGGATAGACATCTTGTATCAGTCCTATTTATTTATTTATTATGCTGCCGTCTCGCCATCCGGAGTGACTCTGGGTTGGTTACGGTGCAATAAAATAGAAATGTAAAATACAGTTGTAAATATGGAAGCAGTTAAAATGACAAGAATTAAATAGAGGAAAAGAGTAAAAATCACGCGGAGCAGGGGTGGTGCCTTCAGTCACTGCACCAACCACTTCCAGCCTGAAAGGTCCCATGCAACTGTCAGAGATAGGTCTTAGAGCAGTGGTTCTCAACCTTTTTAATGCCGCGACCCCAACCGGTCGTAAGTTGAGGACTAAACCGGTCGTAAGTCGAGGACTACCCAACCAGTCGTAAGTCGAGGACTTTCCCTGCCTGGGAGCGCCACGCATGCGTGGTTCCACCCCCTGCGCCGGCCGAGGCGTAGCTGGCAAGCGGCAGAGACGGAGCAGGCCGACCACCAGCTGGCCCAGCCCAAGGGAGGTAAGACACGCGCCGGAAAAGGGGGAAAAAATGGCAGACAAAAAAATGGCAGACAAAAAAAATGGCGGACAGCCTTGCTTGGCGACCCCCATGAAATGGTCGATCGATCCCAAATGGGGTCCCGACCCACAGGTTGAGAACCACTGTCTTAGAGTTCCTCCTGAAGGCCAGAAGGAGCAGGCCAGACTCACCTGGGACAGCAGTATATTTCAAAAGGTGGGGGAGAAATAGACATCTTAGAACAGATCATTATCTATCATGATAGAGAACTTAGAACATTTCGATTAGGTATGCAACAGCTACAAATGTAGGCATTTGCATCCAGCCGTGATGATGCCCAACGGGCAAAACATGGGTTGTGACCTCATGACACCCCTTTTCTTTCATGTTTGTATTGTGACTTTGCACAGCAGTGTCTAAGGAGTGGAGCTGCATTCCAAAGATGTGACACACATTTTGCTACTTCAACCTGCCATTCACAAAACTTGACACCATGATTTTATTACACAAATTATAATATTATTACAATACTTTCTATCACTCTGATTACTGAATAGAATTTCAGAAAGGATATTGTAGAGTTGGCAAAGGCAGCTGGAATAAAGAAAGAAAACTGGTTTTTTTAATTTAGAACAAGGCAAAGAAAAGGCAGCTAAACGTAAAGACTTGTTCTACCTGAATTTGATTTTTGATGACTTTAAAGTATCTTGACAATTTTCTTGGCAACTAGATGGAAATGCTTTGTCTTTTTTTAGAACTTTCCAGTGTAGCCTAATATTCCCTGGTGATCTCCTAGTTAAATGCTAACCAGGCGGAACCCTCCATTTAGCTGAGCAATGGAGATTCAAGAGAGGTATTATTCTTTTTTAAGTTCATCTTCATGCAGTGCAGAATTTAATTGTGGAAATTATGACAAGATGTGATTATGTTCACCAGTGTAGATTATCAGTGCTTTTTTTCTAAAAAAAAAAAAAAAAAAAGGTGCCGGAACTCACACACATCATACAACCCGCCTTGCCTACCCTACAAGGTTCCATCCAAAAAAAGGTGCCGGAACTCCGTTCTGGGCGTTCTATGAGAAAAAAAAGCCCTATAGATTATATTGAATGCTGACTATTCAGACTGATGCATGATAAGGCTATTAAAGATACTAATCCAGATGACTACATGCTAGCTTCAAATTCAGAACATTGGACAGGCATTGGGCATATCCAGGAGCCCAAGCTGTAGAGGAGCAGCAGAAGGAAACTTTTCTCACCGACTTTGGTCTAAAACAGGAGTAGGCAACCTTGGCTCTTTTATGACTCGTGGATTTCAACTCCCAGAATTACTGAGCCTGGCTAGAACAATAGTTCAATATAAGGGAGGGAAACTAAATTGTTAGGAAAGTGCTATGGCACAGGTGCCAGAGGCGGCACTCAGAGCCCTCTCTGTGGGCACGTGCGTCGTCGCCCCAGTCCTAGATCTTCAGCTGGATTTTATAAAACCTTTTCTCTTTAGGCCTCCGCCACCATGTGCAAAAAAAAAAAAAGGTTCAATCAGTCAATTTCAACTTCTGGGGGGGTGGGAAGTTCTTGCAAAGTTGGAATTGATTGATTGAACTTTTTAGTCCCACCCAGTCTGCTGTTACCACTTCAGCCATGCCCACCCAATTGGCCACACCCAGCCAATGGGCCACACCCACCCATCACCTGACGATGCATAAGTGGGTTTTGGGTTGCAGTTTGGGCACTCAGTCTCTAAAAGGTTCGCCATCACTGACCTAGACTACTGAGATAT